TGCCCGTATGGCGACGGGAGTGAGCGCGGGTTTACCCTCCACAACGTCCCCGATGGCGTAGACGTGGGACAGGTTGGTCTGCTCCGCGTCGTTGACAGGTATTTTGCCGGTCCTGTTCGTTTCCGGAAAGGAAAAAGTAATCGTGACCAACTCCATGCTGCTGCATGACGAATACTATTCCAGAAGACTAAACACACAGGCAAAGACCTTCCGCTAGGAAGTCACGCGCCTCACGTTCTATTTACCTACGAGGTTGATGACTTTAGGTAACAAAAGGTTTTTGTGGCTACAAAAGAGTCGCTCTGGCGAAACTATGCATGTTTCTTGGGTGTGTAGGATATCTGCAGACGTCCCTGCCGTTGCACTCAGAGTTTTGGAATTTTTCTCCTTGTCTGACCAAGGGCATAAAAATTCACTCTAAATCACAGACAGTAGGTCAATCTATCTGCACTACTATTTTTTTTTGAGACAGAGTCTCACTGTGCTGCCCGGGCTAGAGTGCCGTGGCGTCAGCCTCGCTCACAGCAACCTCCAACTCCTGGGCTCCAGTGATCCTCCTGCCTCGGCCTCCCGAGTAGCTGAGACTACAGCCATGCGCCACCATGCCCGGCTAATTTTTTCTATATGTTTTTAGCTGTCTGATTAATTTCTATTTTTGGTAGAGATGGGGTCTCACTATGTTGTCCAGGCTGGTCTCGAACTCCTGAGGTCAAACAATCCGCCCGCCTCGGCCTCCCAGAGAGCTGGGATTACAGGCGTGATGCACTACTGTTTTTTAAAATCACTGTTTAATGCATGAGCTTTCTGAGGCATGCAGTAAGTTACTGACTGAATTATGAAGATACTGAAAACAAACAGCTGGTACGGTGCTTATTATAATAAGATAAATTTAAAGCTTGAGAATTTTATATCTTAGTCATTAAATGAGAATTTCTAAGGGGTGATGTGCGGCCAAATTTTGCTTTGTGTAGGATCATCCCACGTATACTTACTTCTCATTAATTGTGACACCAATCTTCTCCAAGCCTAGTTTCTTTGTACAGGAGTCACGACCAATCGCTAGCAAAACCTGTATTTACAAAGGGATCAAAAACACAAATTACCCACATTGGTAACGAAAGAGGCAACATCACTGTAGATCCTTCAAACATTACAAGGACAATAACAATAGCACAAAGAACCTACGCCAATAAATTTGGCAGCTTAGTGAAATAGATGCTTTAAAAGACACAATTTACCGAACTCACGCACAAAAGTCTGAATACACTTAAGACACGGGTTAAACTGTGTCCCTTCAAAATTCATATGTTGAGGCCGGGCGCGGTGGCTCACGCCTGTTAATTCTAGCTCTCTGGGAGGCCGAGGTGGGCGAATTGTTTGAGCCCAGGAGTTCGAGACCAGCCTGGGCAACATAGCAAGACCCCATCTCTACTAAAAATAGAAAGAAATTAATCGGGCAGCTAAAAATATATAGAAAAAATTAGCCGGGCATGGTGGCGCATGCCTGTAGTCCCAGCTACTCAGGAGGCCGAGGCAGGAGGATCGCTTGAGCCCAGGAGTTTGAGGTTGCTGTGAGCTAGGATGGCGCCACGGCACTCTAGTCCGGGCAACACAGTGAGACT